CTGTGTGGCTTGGGCCATCACAAGAAGGAAGGAAAGTTGGACAAGAGACGTTTGCGTTTACGGGTATCCTCTGAGATGTAGCCTATAATTCCAGCTCGAGTAGTTTACCATGATAAGTAAACTGTCCTTCATGTGAAAACCCCCCATTGTCAAACAGAATGTGTTTTAAGTGTACGTTTATTATACTGTTGGCATACAGTGTTAGTTAGAGTTTTTAAATACTAACCTACAATGTGTGCCAGTTTCTTATTTTGGCTTTGTATGCTTTTCATATGCAACCATATGCATATTTGCATGCTCCATGCTCTGTGTGTTATGAAGGAAAGCAGTTCTTGCAGGTTTGGCTCCAGAAACCAGGATTAACACAAGAACACAGATTTGGTTCACAAAGCAGTAAGCAATTTCACACCTTTTTGCGCGGCTAACCTGATTGCAAAGGAGGGCAAAACGGACACTGTGTTAGTGTGTAATACTTTGTTGTCGAGGTACTTCTTTCCTGGAAGAAAGGTTGAGGAGGCAGAGATAGAGAAAGGGTGGATGGAGGGAAGTGAGGACCAAATGTGTACAGGAGCTGTGTGATTGTCCAATATTGATCCACCTCATGCTTGTACTAAACCGCAAACCTTGAGCATCTTCGCCAGGTGCCTGCAAATGAACAATCAGACTGTTTATAAACACAGTGTGGGAGCTGGCTGTCTGTTTGGCTGTCTGGTTACGCTGCCATAGCCAGACACTGGACTGTGCCAGTGGTCAGTGCCAGTGCCAGTGCTCGAGCCACACTCAGCCCTGTCAGATCGGCTAACAGATGGCCTTCAGCAGGCTGGATCTAGCCTGAGCACTTCCAGAATGAGACAAAATGCAATGACAATTGATGGGAACTTAAACATGCGGGGACAGCAGAGTGGGAGTGGTGCCGCTAAAGGGCAAAATGGAGTAGAGAAATCAGAGGAGAGGAGGATATGTGAGCTTGGTTTCGAATGGATTAAGAGAACAGTAAGAAAGGATAAATGTGGAGTGGAAAGGGAAACAAAACAAGCAGGTGAGCTAACAAAAAGGGGGGATGAATGAGAAAGGGTTGAAAGAATGACGGGGAATAGAGAAAAATATGATGGAGAGGTAGACAGAAAGATGCAGGTACGAGGGAAGACTGTTAGAGACAGGCAAGCAGAGAGGGTGACAGCCAAAGAGAAGAGAGAGAAGTGCAGTACAGATAGAGAGAAGAAAGGGAGGTATGATAGAGGTCAACTGTCGCTATGGAGAGGGATGATTGACATCTCTGTGGATTGTGAGCTTTGACAGCAGAATCTGATATCGTCCTCTTAGTTACAGCCTACTGCAACTCACATGTCTTAATATGCACATGAGAATTGTGTAATTCTGTCAGATCTTACTGACATTGACAAACCAGCGCCGTTAGTTTACCCTGTCTCTGCTGTTGAAGTCATTTTGCAGATTAACCTTATTTATTCATGATTATGTTGAGACATCATGCATTTTCTGTTAGGAATTATGATATTATGTTATGTGTTGTGTTTTCTTTGTTTTCTTTGTTTTTCTTTATTATGTCTTTGTCTTTATTAAGTCTTTGTTGTAAGCCTACGTTACTTTTATACTGATCCTTCAATACAAGACAGAATCATTACACTGAAGAACATGTGAACGTGCTGTGATTTTCTGACCTAACATTTCCAATGATCATCTTTCTACATCGTATATGTATGCCCTGGACTAACGCTTTTGGGGAATTTCTAACTTACTCACTCACTTGTTTCTGTCTTATTCCATTTGTCCATCCATTTTCGGCCCTATATCTAGATCTGGGTCGGGTGGCAGCCAGAAAGCACAGCCATCTTCTCCACAGCCATGCCCTCCAGCTCCTCCTAGGGATCCTAGGGCTTGTGAAGGCCAGATGGGATGTCTAATCCCTCCAGCGTGTTCTGGGTCTGCCCCAGTCTGATGCTTCAGACCACAGGGCCGACCAAGCCCAACAAATTCCTCATTCATTTGCTGATATTTCTTTTTCTTTGCAGGAATCTTAAGTGTGGATCTATATTTTGTGGAGGAGGGGGCGAGTCCATCACGGGTAAAAGGGCATCCTACACTGTGTACGGCATAGAATGTAAACTGGCTGAGGATGACGACAAGACCAGAAACATGGACATGGTGTCAAAAGGAACCAAATGTGGACCAAATAAGGTAAAACCGTCAGCGGGGAAGAGACATTACGTGGAGTTTTGGTATCTATGTCGGACGTTTTTGCTCAGATTCAAACGTTTACCCGCAGGTTTGCTTCGACAACAGATGTGTGGATTTATCGGTTTACGGGAAAACGGAGGATTGTGCAAAGAAATGCAACAACAACGGGGTGAGTGAGTTATTTTAGGACATGAAATCATTTGTAGCTGTTTTCAGTTGGACTCTTCGGGGGCCAAAACTGCACGTCCGAGCGCTTGACTAATGTCTAAATTGACTGTATTGCATTTTATCTCCAGGTGTGTAATCACAAGAACGAGTGCCACTGTAATCCTGGCTGGGCTCCACCCTATTGTGACATCCAGTATGCAGATTTACCTCAAGGTACAAAACACTTTACTGGAACTGACTTTATGACCTTATCTAAATTGCTAATACAAAATATGATATATTACTTATATGGGTTTAACCTGAAGTCCGGATCTGAGCGAGCAGTGCAGATAAAAACAGCACACACCTGCTTGTTGAATCATTCTTCCAGTAAAAAACATGAATCATTCATTATGACTGATCTCCTGTTTCCAGCACTGACTGAATTGAGTGTTCCTGATATAAAATGAGAGTTTTCATCTTTATTAAAGCTAGGCTGCATCATCTTACAAAACTATGGCACACATGTGGTATCTCTTATCTGGAGCTGGAGTTGGCCAAGTGATTATGCAACGGTTCACTTCTCACAGTAAGCAGCTGAAAACAGAAATAAAGGAGGAAGAAGGGACACAGGCCAGAATTGTGAAATGTCTCAGCACAGGCCGTACGGCGTTCCTTCCTCTGCAAAACAAGGCGAAAAACTTGTGAAACTGATGTTTTCAGTACGCTGCTTGATTGTGAATATTCTCCAAATTATGGTGAAATGATAATAACAAAAATAATCTTCTTGTATTTGTCATCCTTTGTTGAGGCTTTGTATCATTTTTGCCTCCTCAATGTTTGTCATGTTGCTGCCGCCATGACAAACAGAAAACGCTCGCTGCCTTATTAGAACTACCTTCCCGTTTTAACAAGCTCCTTTTTTCTTATAACACAGTAGTTTGCACATTATCACCACAAAAGAAACAATATCTGAATCTGTATCACACAAAATCATAAAAAACAAGAAGCTCCTCCCATTGTTGTGAGCTGGTGTTATGGTAAAGAAAAGTCCGAGCATAAAGACACACTGTAGCCCAGAGGAAGTTTATCATTTAACGAGAAACTGTGAAAACATTTTCTTTGTCATGGTGGCAGCCATACACTGAGCTAGTTGTTGAGATATTTCCGTCTCAGGCATTTCCATCCCTCGAGCCCTGCTGCTAGCAAGGCTTACAATAAGCAAAAGGCTGAAAAAAACCCTGCTCATAATTTATATTTGATATATTTAGTATACATTTAGGGTGCTATAAATTGTGTATAAAGGATTATAATAACAGAGATTGGCTATATTACGAAGTGCAGCTGTAACGGTGTAATTTCCCTGCAGGTCAGAATGGGATAATAGCTGGTGTGTGTGCAGTTCTCTCCATCCTCTTGGTGATCACCGTAGTGATCGCAAGCCTGATGTGCTGTAAAAAGGACAACATGGACAACTACACGTCAAAAAGGTACTTCAGTTCATTCTCTCGCGTCTCATACACAGCTCTATCCAGTGTCTGTCGTCTGTCTTCCATTTCCCAGCTGAATAAATGTCGTGTTCGCAGGAAAGTGCACTCAGCTCCAGACAAGCTGAACCCGATGTTCCAGGAGCCAAATGGTAAAGACAGACCTCAGATCAGTCAGCCCACTTTCATGGAATCAACAGCGGCGCAAGCCAGCGCTCCTCTGATTGTTACTGTGACTCCCAGCCGACCCGCGCCACAGGTACACAGGGCCGGAGGAGTTAGTCATGTCAGGGAATAATTAGTTCATCATGTGTGGGCAGGTTCAAGTGTTTTTACAGCAGTCCTCTCATACTTATTATGTGCTTCTTTTTTTTCCAGCCACCAAAGAAATTGTCTTCAGTGGCGTCTACCTCACAGACTGAGCCGGTAAGCTTTAAACAAAAACATCTAATACATAATGCAAACAGAGGATTGCATTCAGAGTTGGTAACTTAAGTTGGCTGCTAAAGTTCAGAAGTTAAATTAAATAATGCATGCAGAGAGTATTCTGTATTCAGACGTGGTGTAAAGTTGCGTAAAGGACAAGGCGGCTGTATTTCCATCTTATTCCTTCAGTCAACGAATCACCTGAAAAGACCAACACTGTGTTAGTTTGTCTCTTAAGTTACGCCTTAATATAATTTAAATGGGTGAGTTGTATAAAGATTCACCCCCCGTACAGTTGTCATGAACGGGGGAATGAACTATAGAGACCAAAACAGTTTTTTGTATCAGGCTGTACATGTTTATTTCTGCTGTAAAGTTGGGCATTTTAATATGGGGCCTTATGGAGATTAATTGATGGAGCCAGCCTCTAGTGGCCTTTAGAGGAACTGCAGTTTTTGAAACAATGAAGGAACGTGTCACCAAGTTCAGCAATGTGTTTTTAATAGTTTGTGGACAGCAGTGGGGCTCTATGGCACACAGGAAGGCTTTGGATACACCTGTTAGAAGGATCAATCCATTTTTGGTTTTTATGGGATTTGTTCACAACAAGAAAAATATAACTTTATAACTCCATGTCCCAGCGGTACACTCAGCTAAGTCTTTATTTGGTTTGGACATCAGTGTGCAGTTAACTCTGAATACAAAGCTGAGTAAACAACACTTTTCACACTGCACACAGGAATAAAAGCATACTCAGAACTTTTTTAGCCTCAGGGTTAAGTGGGTTAACCCCGACTTTAAGCCTAGAGCTGGATGGCCCTGCGCCGGAGCAGAGTTAGCCCTGAGTTTGTGTTAGTATCTTCTGAAAATTGACTAAAAACTGGGGTAAAGTAAAGACAATGTAAACATAAATGTAAAAGATATGTCACGTGTTCCAGCGGACATTTAACCCACGGCTAGTAGAAGTGCAGCGTGAAAAAGAGGCTACATTATCCCAGGGTCTACTCTAAGCTTAAGGCCAAAGTGTGAAAATGTGTACAGTATGTGAGTCTCGCATACACGTAGTTACATTAAAGTGCCTGAACTGGACCAAAAAAGGTGCCAGTACCCTTATTCAACCCTAAACACAACATAAACCCTCATTGTTTGGCCATTTTTTATCCTTTTTAACGAGGACATTTCCAGTGCTGTTTTCACCTGTATGCAGGGTTTTAGAAACACAGCGGTCTGAACTTGCACACAGGGTTTGGGGGCGTCAAAGTGTCAAACTAGTTATTTTTGGACAATTATTTCACAACCTTTATTGTATATACCCGAACTTGAAGTAAGTGTACTCATGCGGACAAAAGTGTGCCGGTACTTAGTACTGGTGAGTGTTTTTTCAGGCACTGGACAAAGTCATTGAACTTTACGACAATCAGAATAAATGAACAACATTTTTCAGAGGGAAAACTGACTGAAACACAACAGGAAAAGTGAAAACACAGAAGTCTTACTGACTTTGTTTTTCCTCTTTTACCACAGATGAAACCTCAACCTCCAGTGAAACCTTTACCACCTCTGAATAAAACACAGGTGAGTCACACCTGCAGCTGCTCCCTGCAGACGATTTCAGCTGCTTTAATAAGTATAGACTTTGGTCACAACAACACTCTGAGCTGAAGGAGTCGTACAGTTAATGAAGACATTAAATCCAGTTATCTAGAAGCATAATAGACACAATATGTTTCTTGATCTCTTTCCTCTTTGTTTTATTTATTCCTTTTGCAGCTTTATATACACAGTATGTAGTAAATGTATCTTCAGTATCATATCATAGTCTTAAGATAAATATTTTTGGTCGTCACAGCCCATCTTTCCCAGTTATAATTCCACTCATCTTCAGATATCTCTATATTCTCCCAATAGTTTTGTATTCTATGTTTGTTGTCTTTAATCTTATAGTTGTCTCTTACCTGGGGATCTGAGGAAATTTAACATTATAAGGTGTTCAAAAGGTGTTTAAAAACCATTACAAAAAAGAAAAAAAGATTTAACCTTGCATGCAAGAAGACTGAAATAGATGGCATGGGATGCAAAGTTTACTGCACCCTAAGGGCTACCTAGGTCCATTTATTCATCCATTTTAAATACTTCTTTATCCGTTTCCTGCCTCTTTAACTTTGTGCTGCTACAACATGTGAGTTTCCCCTCTGGGGATCATTAAAGTCTTATCTTAAAGTTGCAGCCCATTTTCTGTCATGAGTTAGACTGCTTTTTTTTTTTTTTGGGACCAAAACATTAAAGACACTGTCCTCAAACCTCCACAAGTAGCAGCTTCACATTTATAAATGTGTCTAAAATTCGTCTTGTTTTGCTTTTCAGTATAAAACAGCCAGTCCGAGTGTTCCTCCTGTACCTCCAGTCAAGCCCAGCCCTCCTCCGGCTGCCAGAATCAAACCGAGCGCTCCTCCTCCGCTGCCCCCAGCGAAGCCACATGTTCACAGACTCACATGAATTTCTCATTAAAAGTATCAGGTTAGACTAAAGAAGAGGACATTCAGCTACATATAGAAAGAGAGCGATTCTGTGTGAGTCACAAAGGCCAAAGAGTGTGGAAAAGCAAGGACGACCGAGGCTTCACCGACTGAGAATGTCTTTGATTTGAGACCAACAGCTTCACAACTGCTGTGGAAAACTCTCCATTAACTGCTGCTGCAGTTGTCATTGTGTTTGTAAAAGATTCTTTCTGCTAACTTCCTTTGTAACGTTACTGTAAGTTGTCTCATCGCACTTTTATAAGTGTGAGCAAAATGGTGCTCGCATGAAAATGTACTTTTTAAGATATTTATTTAATGTTTGTCCAAGGGACTGTACAGAAATTATTACATGGGGAAAGAGGATTGGGATGGGTGGGGTTTTCCTTTTTGTTGAAGGAAGGGTAGATATATATTTTATATTCTATAGGTAGTTAACTGTGGGGGTTTAAAAGCTTTTTCAACAGCTGCCTGCTGCATAGGGTTGAGTATCCATACCAGTACCAGTACCCGTACCCTTAAAGTGATGCTGATACCAATAAACAGGGTGTCCAAGGGGGTTTTAAAGAGCCTAAAATCCAATATTTTGAATAATTTAAAATATTTTAAATATGATTCTGACAGGTCTTACAAATTGCTTGGATTAATGGAGTTAACAATGTTTGTATAAACTTTCTGTTTTTTGGAGAAACATTTTTTGTCAGTATGGATGTAAAATAGGTCTCAAATTACTTTTATGATGGTCTTAAAAAGCCTTAACTTAACTTAATGTGGTTGTCTTTTCAACATATATAGATTTTGAAGATGTTAAAAGATAAAAGCAACATATATATAAGGCCACATTTTAGGTTAGCTAGCTAATGTTAGCAAAACAAAGTAATTCTTGATGTAACTAGCTAACAATTGGTGTAAATTAGATAGCTAGTTAGCCAGCATTTTTATAACATTATAGCTTTTATCTTTTAACCATCTTTAAAAATGGTTTTCAACATAGACGAGGCTAGCACAACTGTTATTGGAGCACACCAAAAAGGGGCGGGACTTAGGATGGGTCAGTTCTCTGCAGGTTCATCAGGAGACCCCTTTCAGTTTGATACCTTGTGATTATAAAAGTATTGATTATAGTCACTTTAATGATAATATTACAGACATTATGGGGGCGGGTGCAGCAGGTTTATCTGCACCGACGGGAGGGTCCATTGGTCTCAGCTGCCCTCGCCTCACCAATCATTTTTGTACAGTCCCTAAACTGTCTAAAGCCAGTCCGTGCCTTCTACTACCAGGTCACTTTGCTCTATACTTGAAACCCTACGAATGGTACACGCAGTATGGGAGGCTTTGCACAGTTCAGATGACCTGTGTGTCTTTCTGTGGCTGAAACATTTACACGCTCCTTTGTTTGATTTCAGTCCTGAGGGGGCTTTTTTTTAATGCACTGTTAAGTTTCCAGGGCAACAGTCCCATCGTTTTTATACCTTGTGGTATGTTAAATTGTAAATTAATGGCAAATCGCTGATAGTACAAGTTGACACGATCACAGTCCTACCTTTTAATCTGTCACATCAGATGTAAAAAATCCCTGAGAGGGCCTTTTGTTGCAGCAAACAAAGAGAAAAGTATGATGAGATGATTGTGTTGCATCAGCAGATTACACAAGCCGCAATACATGACAGAGGACTTCTTATCCTCTGTGTTTTACTTAGCGCTTCATTATGTGAATTGCATAATGATTAAAAGATGATTTTTTCTCTAAGAAGTTCGTTGTGTCTCCTTCTCTGTGCTGTTTTTGTTTTATCTTGTGTAACAATTTTTATTAACCCCCCAATAAGTCTTCCCATTGTTCTTCCCAGCAAACAGTGTGCACATCGGTTAACAGTTAATCCATATTTATTGGCCTCCAGTGACAAGCTAAAGGAAATGGGCTGGAAGAAGGCTCCCAGTGTGAGCTCCCATTATCTGGGTTTCCTGCTCAGACTTCTCAAACAATCGGATGCAAAAGTCTGACGGGTTGTTTTGTTTGTGGTTTAACACACAGAGTCAGAGTTTTTCGTGGGAAACAAACTCAGAACTGTATGAAATGAATCAGCAATAAGGGCCCAATCGATGAACCAGGCTGCTAATAAAAACTGAAATGGTGAACATAGTAAATATTACACCTACTCAGCGTGTTAGCAATGTCATTGTGAACATGTTAGCATTGAATCAAAGCACCTCTGAGCTTTGTTTAGCACATATCTTGGTTTTAGCCTCTTTCAGCTCATTGTTTTGGTTTTAAATCCCACAACTTTACAGTTCTGATTCACTCTCATCACTCAGTTCCAGCAGCAGGCAGCTGGTTTCAGAGAAAACACCACCTGCTCTACACCAAACAGCAGATACACAAAGTGAGCAACTAGCTGTTGAACATAGTGGAGCATTTAGCAGCTAAAGAGAGTTGGGTTTCTAAAAACAGAACTAAAAGAGAGAGAATATTAGCCTTACCTCATGAACTGGACAGAAATACTGTATGACTCAGTTTGCTCAGTAAGTGCTGGGTGTGGACGTAAGCAACGGTTTTAACATGTTAGCCACATCGACTTTATAAGTGCTGTGTTAACAGTTTGTTAAAGGTGAATAAGGTCAGGGTGGATCTAGATGTGTGGTTTGATGTCAAATGCTGTCAAATTTAACATAATAATTTAGATTTATTTAAAAAATAACACGCTAGAAATGGGCACAAATGGAATATATGTTTTCATTAGTGTATAATCACCTGAAAATAACTATAGTTGTGTTTTTGTTACCTTAGAATGAGATGTTTTATCCCACATGTTGAACCCTATATAACCCTCTATATACTGTCAATGGTTTCTACAGTAGCCCAGAACGGACAAACCAAACACTGGCTCTAGATAGCGTTGTAGTTTCTCTGTTCTAAACCACTAGAAGCCACTAAATCCTACACACTGGACCTTTAATGATCTCTTATGGCTGCATTTCAGACTAAGTAATTAAATTTTAATTAATTAAAAAAGACATCTATTTATAAAAATAGTTCAAATATCTTCATTTGGGGTTTTTTTTCCAAGCAAATATTGATAGATGTGACTGTGCAAATAAGCACCCCTTAAAGTCTCCATGTCCCCCTCTGGCCACCCCAGAGAGACAGATCCGCCCCTGGACAAGGTCTGGCTTACGGTTCATCCTAAAGGTGTTGGACGGGGGTTGAGGTCAGGGCTCTGTGCAGGTTTTTCCACATTTATGGAGCTGCTTTGTTCTTTGTTATTGACATATTGAAACAGGAACAGAAAAACTGTTGACACAAAGTTCTCGTCTCTCCTGAACCAGTGTTCTGTAGAAGTAAGATGATACTTGCAGGAAACTTTAGCAGAAGTTTGGAAATACTTGATTTCTCTGTAAGGACTAAAAAAACAAACTAATCCACCCACGAATTTCACAAATATTTAAATGTCTGATGTGGAAATTTAACCATAAATGGGTCAAAAAGAAATAAAAAAATCTGATTGGAGGCACTGGTGTAAATCAGTGCTCTCAGACGGGGGAATGCAGGCCAGAGCGAGGGGGGGGTCTGATTCACTCTGATTCATGAGCCAAGAAGCTTGTAAAATAACAGTTTACAATGAGTGTGGCTTGTTCTACAGCTAATCTTTGTCTCTGCCTGTCTCCCGCTCAGATCAGCAGTTTACTGGGCTCAGATCTGCAGGAGATTGTCCTGGGGGGGTGTTCAGTCAAACGTGCAACCACCTGTGTTTGTTCTCAGTTTTCAGACTTTCCAACCGCACAGACTACAGACTGTCTGTTAATGTTTAATCTTCTCTTCTCTTGCTCATTTGCAATCCATGTTTCGAGGTTTCTATGACTGTGCCTCAGA